ACTGGTAGCGTAACTCTGTCAGCCAAGCCACTCTTGTTATGACATATTACATATCCCTTTGTTTTGCTCGGTGGTGGGCGGTGCGCAACAGATTCCGAACACTCCTGTCTTTTTACTGCTGTTCCCTCTTGCAAAACCAACACTATGCGCCCTTCTAAATGGTGTTGCTCCATCTTACTTTTGAAAGCGCATGTGACCCACCAAAGTTCCTAAGATTCATTTTACTCCAAGCCCAAGACGAAGAAAAGCCACTGGCTAGGCTCTCGCCTTTTCTAGTGTCCAATGCTTTGGTACCGTAATCGGCAAATCTTTCTAGGCGAAAAAGCTTTCTGGTAGTTTTCTTGACGAAGTCGAAACAGAAGTTCAAAGAATAACGCTACTAGAACAGACATGCCAGGCCGAACACCAGATAAATGTCAGCTCACATCGGAGGCTGAATAGTGTTCGAGGTGATATCTCCGAGGCTGATCTGGTAGATTGCACTCCGGATGAAATCTTAGAGACGGGCAGGAGCAACCAACCATGCATTCAATCCTGACTTTTGAGCTGCATACATTTCCTGCCACCGTTAAAGCTGGTTACCTCCATTACAATGTCCGGCCATTTATTCCAAACCCACAAATATGTTATGGATGCCAACGCTTTGGGCATGGTTCGGGGAGCTGTCGGAGCCGTCAGACATGCGCGAAGTGTGGTGGCACTGATCATGTAGACGATATTTGTGAAAGCACCCTCAAATGTGTCAACTGTCAAGAATTTCATGCTGTTAATGGCAGGCCATGTCCGCAGGGGAAGCCGGAGAAAGAAATCTTAACCCTGAAAGCATAAAAGAAAACATTATTTACAAGAAGGCAAACAACAATTTGTATTTTCGAAAGGCATGTTTTCCCAGGTGGTGCTGAGGGGACCAGCACCGCAAACAGAATCGAAGGTCGCCTTTCTCTCGTCTGAGGTCCTGGAAGTGGCTCTTCAGCCCCTTACCACCCAGCAGGGGCAGCGGATTTCTTCGGCTCCCGAAGGTAGTGCACCAGCTGCCCCTCGGTCGCGAGACAGGCAGAGAGTCTTTCTGTCTGTCCCCACTTTGAGCTCTGCCCCCAGGGCGAAGGAGCGAGATTCCTGCCCGAACTCACGACAGAGGGCCTCGTCCAAGGAGCGACACCGCGCCGCTCCTTCTGCAGCTGAGAGGCAGGAACGCAGCGAGTTGGGCGACGATCAGCCCAGCACTTTTCCTGCTGGCCCTTTGAGTGGGGGCGGTTGTGGCCGGGGAGTTCTGCTTCGTGCCTCGACTCTGCCCAGACCTTCACGACAAGCCTCGTCTCTAAACGTAAATACGACAGACCAGGCCATTGAGCCTTCCGCTCCTTTGTCTGAACAGGACCACATGAACTGGGAGACTCCAAAATCTAAGAAAAATTACAAAAAAAAAAAACAGTAATTCCACTGACGTAGCTTTGTTTTGGAGCTTCATTTCTGGATTGTATTAATTGACTGTGTTCTGTATATATACATCTACTCCTAATATTATCACCTCCACTTCTTCTCCAATGGATCTTTAAATAATTAAAAGCGCCGAAAAAGACAAGGACAAAGAAGTGGAACGACACAAGGCGCACTCGCAACTGTGGTTTATTCATGGTTCTTCATGGTTCTTATTATTCATGGTTCTCCAATGGAACTGTCGAGCCCTCCTTGAAATGATGTTAGTACTTCACAGCACATAAACGTGCAAACTTCGATGATTTTCCTGACCTGCTAGAGGAACACAGTCCTATTTCCTTCTTTTTGGAAGCGACTCACCTAAAGGAAAATCACTTGAAAATCCTGAATTACTTCCAGGTCCTTCGCATGAATCGTCAGTATTCAAGCCGTCCATCTGTTGGTTCCGCTCTTGTCTTAAAACGTTCGGTCCCATGCACTAAAATTCCCTTAAATGCACTACTATAAGCATTTGCTGCCCGTAGAGTGATTAACAATGCAATAACCATATGTTACGTGTACATACCTTCGAATTATCACCTCGAGTATGAAGGAATCAAAGCTCTTTGCGATCGGCTACCCCATTCTTTTTTGCTCGAAGCCGATTTCAATTATCATAACCCGCATTCGAGAAGTAGACGAAGGGATAGAGATCAAAACTTATTGAACGTTTTTTGCTTTCAACCGGATTGTGATTTCCTAAGTGTAAAAAGGTTGCACAATTTTCCTCAGCAATATATAGGGTGGTTCAAGTCACCCGGCTCGATCTAAAATTGATCGTAAAAATCGACGCCTGCACGCAGCCATCTAAACTTTTCGTCAAAGGTGTATTTTACAGGTGGGGTTTTTCTAGTAAAATTACAAAGTGTAGTTCTTTTTTAGTAAAAAATAGGGCCAAGAAACTTGCCAGGGTCTACGGCGGGCGGCGACCCAAACGACCAAGTCCAGTGGTGGACTGTGTTTGGTGTTTGTATTGATAGATGGCCTCGGGAGCAGCGTGTAAAGGTGCAGCCGACCAGCGAAAGATAGCAGACGACACGCAGACGAAATCCGTTGGCAGCAAAAGCGCTGCCATTTTGCAGACCCGTTGTTTTACTTTAGGTTTCGCTTTTATTCTTCGCATTTATTTTTAAACCGAAGGTTCATTTCAAAAGGATTATATTCATTTTAATAAACCAAGGTGGTCGCGAGCCGTCGCGTTAGGGACGTAGCGCCATCTATCAATACGAACGCCAGACACACCCCGCTACTGGACCCCTGTCCTCTGCGTTGCTGCCCGCCGTAGACCCTGGCAAATTCCTTGGCCTTATTTTTTTCAGAAAGAGAGCTACGTTTTACAATTTTACAAGAAAAAACGAACTGTGAACTACACCTTATACGAAAAGTTTAGATGGCTACGTGCAGGCGTGGATTTTTACGGTCCATTTTAGACGGAGCCCAGGAACTTGAACCACCCTATATATATTGACATCAATCGCCATTTCACTTTACTTCCACTGTTCTCATGGAGAGCCATCCCTAATCCCTACGGCAGTTGTCGTTTTCACGTTATTCGAGACGTCAACAGTAATCCTGATACAGTTCTAACACGGTCACCACGGTGGAAGTGTGACAAGTCATCACTTTCAGATATTATATCCCGACATCAGTTTTCTATTGATGAGGGAACAGGTCATGACACAAAACACATTCTAGAAGCTGTCATGCTTGCAATGCCGATGACGTCCACTCACCTTCGCAAACGGCCTTAGCCGTTCAAAACTGAGCACCGCTAAGAGGCCTATAAGAAACAAAATAAAGTTTGGGGCATATTTATGCGAAATCCTACACCAAGTAACCTTATGTTGTTCAAGAAAATGAAAACGTGTGCACGATATGTCCGGAGGCAGTCATAGAGACATTGCTTGGAGAAGTATGCATATTCTGTAAGGAGTCAGGCAACGGATATGAAGGTATAGGTTCGAGTTGAGAAAATTAACGGCTCGTATCATGCTTTTTCCGCTTCTTTCTTGACGAAAAATGACGTATTCCCTGAAAGCGTCGTGACACCGGCAGATATTCTTGGCGAGCGTTTCGAGCTTGTTTCTAGCTCAAGCAATTACACACCTTCATTTATTAGACACAAAGCACAGATGTAAAAAAGGGCTGTGAACATTTCGGGTGGATTTCGAGATCCATACAATGTCCCATTCACATTCTGTGAACTTGAATTTGTTCTTCACTGCCCTAAACAGTCGGCACCAGGTCCAGATGGAGTTCATTGCATTATGCTCAAGCATCTTCATCATTTTAATATTTAGCTTACTCTATGCTTCTTATATAAAATCTGGTCTGAAAGCAATTTTCCGTTCGATTAGAAGGTTGCCTTCGTAATTTCCTTGATGAGGGGTGGAAAGGATCTTTCATGTGCATCTAGCTACAGACCTATTGCATCGAAACGTTTTTTTCTTTGTCGAAGACTCTTGAAAGACTGATTAACAAAAGGCTTATACCAGGGATGGGCAAAATACATGCAAATATGTATCGAAATACAAATACAAAATACCTCGTCAAAAATGTATTTAATTACAAATCTAATTACATTTCCAAAAAAGCATTTAAATACAAAATACAAATACAACCAAATGTATTTGGTCTCCTCCAAATACTTTTCCAAATACATTCCTAAAAATTTGCGTCAGCGACTTCAGGGCACCTGCAACAGGTTTCTGAGTATCTCATTTTAATTTTGCATCGCACACTCGGGAGTTAGTGTGCGAGGCTCTATTAACGTAATAGAAATATAATCACAAAAAAAATGTAATCAGCTTGGACGTAATAGGTGAAAAAAGTACAGTTTCAAGCAGCTTTTTTTGTCGATTACATTTTGGTAGAGACCAACAAAGAACCGAGACCGCAGCACTAGCTGGAGAATTTTTTTTTGTTCCAACTCGCACCAGTTACAAAAATCTGGACGACCCGCGCATTTAGAATGTTCCAGGCACAAATATGGATGGAAATCAGGCTGGAAAGCATCAAAAGTTGTCACAGGCACTTGTTTAGCCAGTCTGCCTGTGAACGTCGATTACGTCACTACTCTTGCCCTCGACTAGCACCGTAATCACAGTCACTAAACGCTTGTGCTTGATTGAGAGACACTGCATTCGGTGCAGAACGTAGTTTTCTTCCTGCTCTGGACAGTGCCTTTATAAGCCCCATGGTCGAATAAAAGATGGAGACTATATCTTACAACCACATGCATAAAAACAAGAATTGTAACTTTGGCAATAACATTTATTTAACGTAATAGAGGCAAGTGCAGCATTAAAGAGGAGACCTTCTCAATACAGTGTAATTTTGGTGCGTGCTCATCAAGTTTCGACTAGTAAGACTTCAGCAGCAGAAGCTTTTCGAACAACGTGTCGCTAAGACGACGCCTGTTGGGGCAAATAATAAGGCTGCCAAGGGAAAATAGGCGCTCTACGGGGGCAGACGAACTTAAGTTTGTATTGTACCTTAAAAAGACGCGCTTCACAGCAGGGTACTCATGCAGCATTGTGATCGACGTGCGTGTGTCCTGCAAGTAACGGAACACCTCAAAACGTACGCTGAATGCGCTCGACGTCGCGGTCGAGGGAGTGTGACCCGCAAAGTTAAAGAATGTGTCGCTTTCATCTGGTTGTGGCGCCCAGTTCCCAGGAGACCCTGTAGACAGATCCTGCGCAGCCTGTACAAGGAGATCGCTGATGTCATGCGAACCATCGCGTGGCATCCAACGGGTCTTAAAATACGGGTGACTACAAGAAGCGATAATGGCTGGCTTGTCACCCAGGCACAACCACCTCTGGAAACGTCTCTCCAGACTGTCCAGGGCAGCCTGTGCGATCTTTTCCGTGTGCGGACTTTGTAAATTTTCCCGAACGTGTTCCAGCTTCGCTCGGACCGTGAACAACACCGGAAGCAACTCGCCGTAGTAACCACTGTTGCTGCTTCCTTGCAGGCGATCAAGCGCTGAAATTAATGAGTGAACTGTGAGTACAATGAACTAGTATGCGCGACATAAAATAAAAGAGGTGAAGCACGCACGTTATAAAGCAATTATTGTCCACGTTATGTATATTACTTTGTGGCATACGAAATTAAAGCAGCGCGCAAGACAGGACGCACTCGTCCTGTGTGCTTCTTTCTTAGGTCCTTTCTTTTTTGCGCACTGCTTTTAATTTATTAGGTCATGAACCAACTCGCCCGCGTTGCTACTTTATTTCGCTTTGTGGCAGGCTATTATTCATATCATAAATTTCGAGCTAATTAGGTTGTTGAACATTACACACTATCTACCTGTAGCAATTGGCTTGAGTATGGTACAATATTCCTCAATAAACTCAATCTCCGAGGACTTCAATGAGGGTAGCTGCAGCGCGTTCGAGAGGTCTTGTAATTGCTCCTTGTTCTGGGTGAGGACGTCCAAGGCGTGGTGCAGAGAGTTCCAGCGAGTGATGCAAGGGGCTGGTAGTTGCTTGCCAAGGATAGATGTAACGACTTCCGCTGATTTTGGCCGACCTGAGGCGCCCCAGTATTTCGAGCACTTGCTCATGACGCTGGAATGGAGGCGGTTCAAAGCATGGTTCGCGCTGATAGCTTTCTTGACGTCCGCCGTTGCGATTAAACTGAGCGTGTGACAGGCGCACCGCAGGTGCTGTGACAAAAGCGGGCCTGGGGGCTCGATCTCCTCAAACGTGACGAGCTCGAAATCCTCGGAATCTGTTAAAAAAAAAATCCAGGCACAATATAGTTTGGTTGTAAAAGGTCTAAACTCTCATCTCTTAGAGCTTGCCTATACCTGCAGCACACGCTTCGTCGAAGGCCGTTACGCCAAATTCCTTGAATGCCTTCACAAAATTTGTGGCGTTATCCGTGACCGTGCCAGTAATCTTTCCTGTAGGCAGGCAGTAGTCTGTGCAAACGTCCGAGAGCAACTCGGCGACTCTGTCGTAGGAGTGGGTGCCAGCAAATCTCCTACAGGCAAGTGCGGCGGATTGTCGTTCTAGTGTCGCTTCCGATATCTGCAACCAAATCCGGTCGAAGAGGCTATAATAATGCGGTATAAAAATTATTTGCACAGAACACAGGCCCAGGTGGCCGCATATTTAAGAAAAAGTATGACAAGATAAATAGTGAATACCCAGTGGGCTGTCACACCCAGGTAGCTCTTAGTTGACGTTGACCACACATCGGCCGTAAGACACACGTACAGCGGCATTTTAAGTGCCGCCCTAACTCTTTCGAGATGGGCATCGTAGTCAGAGTCGACTCTGCGACCCAGAGTTCTTCTCGACATGACATTAAGGGTTGCTGGGCAAGTACCTAAAAGAAAGTATAAAAATATGCCAAACAAAACTAAAATTCGATGACATAATCAGTCTACAATTACTGAAATATGCCAAACAAAACTAAAATACGATGACATAATCACTCTGCAATAAACAAAATAAACAAGCCAAGCTGAAGGCCATAAAAACACACCTTTGACGAAGGCCACAAACTCCGGCTGCTCGACGAAGGTCAAAGGAAGCATCCCTTTCACAATCAGATCCGTCAATAAACTGTCGAACTTGGTCTGCGTGACCACGGGAGCACTTGGGGACAGTCGCAAGCACTAGCCTCGTTTGCTTGAGAGCTGGTTCTGGGCCAGCGGTGCATTGTCTCTTTTTTTGGTTCGGATCACGCCGCACGTGCTCATCGTACTCGACAAGAACGAGAGGATGAATACGCTAGGCCAAATAAACAGAATTATAATAATGATATGGTAAAAACAGTGACCCAAAATAAAAAGCTCAAAATCTACATGAAAATTAGGATACCTTCAAATGTGTCCTAAAGTTGGAAGTTGCCGACCGTTACCCTGAAATAGTCTTTAGCCATGACTGGCAGATGGCCTTCACGTGCTTGTCTTCTTCCGCAATGACCTTAAACAATTTTCCATCAAGGATATTCGGATTTTTCGCCTCTGACGACGTTGACGATGAATCAGCCATGCCCTGTCCCTGTATGTGTAGAAAAAGGCCTTTTGTGTATAAAACTAACATGGGGCGGTCTTTCAAAGACGACAGAACGTCATATGGTATCGCTTTTACCTCTGCTGACGAACTGTCAGTCCGGTATTAACACCGAGAACGAACACAAGCGTCGCCACTTTTCCAGCTGATTGGACGATGTTCTTTTCTCATGTCACGGCAAAGGTGCTATCGCAAAAGGACGGGGTCCGTGTCACATGAGCGAATGACATTTTAGTGAACAGCGACATTTGAGCGAATCGACGTTTTAGCGAATAATGGGGGCGCGCGTTAAACCATCCGCCGCGCTGCGCTTTACGCCGCTTCGCGGCGACAGTCTGCGGCGGCTCATTACAAAAATATGAACCCACTTGGCCCACCCGAAAACGCCGCTTCGCAGCGTCCGACTATTCGCTAAAGTGTCATTCGGAGAAACGTGGGCGTTGGCTAAAACGTCATTCGATCAAGTGAGTGCCTCCCCCGCGGGGTCGACTTTGTTTCACGTTCAGTCAGAGCGCATCGAACCCTGCGGGCCATCCCAGCCAACCCAGCGCCGGGAGAGTATCACGTGACCTTACGGTTGGGAAGAGCGACACGCGGAGCTCAAGGCCTCGTCACGCGCTCTCAACGCTGGATTGGGTGGGATGGCGCGTAGTTCCGCTGCGCTCCGACCGAAGATGAAAACGCAGTATTCGCCTCGAGATCGAACCATCAAGCGCACGGTGCCTCAATTTGCACTAAATTGGAGCACAGTGAAGGCTACAGACGCGTGGTCGAAGCTCAAAAAGGCGCTAATTTAGCGTCTAGCTAAAAGCAGCGTCTCAAACCAAGATCTCGCGTCTCTAGCGTTTCTTGTGGTTCACGTTGAAAGCGGGGACGGTTGTGGCCATCTGCTCTGCGTTCACGAGAGAATGCCCATAGGAAACCATGTATAAACAAAAGCACATGTCCCCGCTTTAGAAACTCGACCTCGAGGCGAATATACTTCGTTTCAGCTTCGGTCCAGACGCAGCCAAAGCTACAAGCGCGAGCTCCGGGCTTTCAGCATCCCTGCCAAGCACGAGCGCTCGTGCAGTGCAAGCACTGTTCTGGGCCACATGCTCGCGCTTGTAGCATCGGCTGCGTCTGGACCGAAGCTGAAACGAAGTATAGCGCGGGTTGACTAAAAAGAAAAAAAAAAACTAACAAAAAAAAAAAAAAAACGAAATCTAAAGACGGACGCCGCCAAACGCTGTCAAAAGAAGCGATGTATTGATCAGCGACCTTTTTTTCTTTTTTTGCGAAATAAGCTCTGTCCTTTCACCCAAACCACGCTGTCAGCAAGGGAGATGATAACGGCATTTCACTTGCGTCGACGGGCTGCCCCCCGTGCGGTCCACATGGACTGGCCGGGCCCGTCACACGAGCTCTAGTTCTTTTGCAACTCACCAAGCAAGCGCTCCTCGGAGGGAGGGAGGGAGGGAGGGGGAGAGAGAGAGAGAGAGAAAAAACGCAGGCTCGCGTGATGTTGTTAAGTGCTTTCACGACAGCACATCAGTTTGGCTCACATACATCAATTTTGCTCACAAGATATTAAGATTGCGGAAATAAAACTAAAATGAAATTAAACACAAACCAAAAAGTCGTTTCGAAGTTATCTGCAGCCAATCCGCAATCGTGCAAACGGTCAGTACGGGAACATTTTTTTTTCCGCGGCGTATCTTACTGAGGCGTAGAGGCCGGCAACCTGTCAGAGGGAAGGGGTAATTACTAGGACTTGGGTTTCTAAGAAGGTCACGCGTTCCAGCTGTACGAATCTTTGCGAAATGCCTACACTTCGAAAAAGCAATGAATTAACGAGTTAGGATATTCGCAACCCCAACCACGTGCTCTTTTATACTCGCCCCTCTGTTTCAAGTTTCGTTCCCTAGGCTGCGCCAGCTTTCGCTGCGCATTCCAATCGCCGCGAGCTCCCCGTTTCAACGCGTCATGTATCGACCACTAGATAGCGGCGACTCGTTTGGATTTGCGAATAGGAAACCAACCACTAAGCGCCACCAACCACTTAGCGCCGCTCTGAAAACTTACCCTTCCGTCGAGCTCCCGCGAAGAAAAGTGTGCACTGCGACAAGCGCCCCACTCATCCGAACGAATCTCGGGGCAGGAGGCACTAGCACTGTTGCATGTCAGAAAACGTGGAAATCCCTTGCAAAATCAACAAATAAAAAAAAAAAAAAAAGCCCCCTCACCATTTCTAGACACCCTGTAGTACTTCGAAGCCCCTAGCCTCCATGGCTTCGGTCATCGAGAACGTTTTATTGCGCTATTTGCTTTTCGTGTGCTCTGTCGGCTCTGTGCGCGCGCGCGTGTGTGTGTGTGTAGAAAAAGAGCGGGAGGGGGGGGGGGGAGAGGGGGAGGGAGCAAGGAGTCTGCAAATACTTTACTAGGGGGAATACATTCCACTCTGCTCATTTGCATTAGACAGAACGCCTACAGCGCCGCTGACGGTGTGGAGGTCCGCGTCAGTCCACGCGCATGTGCACGTGGATGTTCGCGGCGGCCGCGGCGGTGTCGTCTCCGCGAGGTGCGTCGATGCACGAGGCACGTGCAACGTGCAACCCTTGGGAAGATTACGGCGGCACAGCGCAGCAAAGTATTTGGCGCAGCACTGAGCTCTACTTCGGTTCACCTTATCTGCGAGCGAAGGCAAAGCTAAAAGCGCGAGAGCAGCGCTTTTTGCGTTTCTGCCCAGCTCGCGCGCTCGAGCAAAGCCTGAACGCGCGGAGCTTTCGTGCTCGGCGCTTCCAGCTTTGCCTTCGCTCGCACATAAGGTGAAACGAAGTATATTTACCGCCCGGTAGCCGAGACCTTCACGACGATAGATGGCTCTCGCCAAGCCCAGAAAACCTGTCCGCGCCGAAGCTATTAGCGGCGAGATGTTTTGGTGGCGCCCTCCTACGGTTTCCCCTTGTGACGTCATTACCTTGCGAACAACAAGTTCGATGGTGTTTGTAAATAGCATGGTGGAAGCCTGAAATCATTGCGCTCTCAAAGCAACACTGCCAACACCGTCGAAATTAAAGTTCTTTCATTCCTCTTATTTCCATCGATGGCATACCCTTTCCGACGTCATAGTCAGCTTTTGGGCCAATCGTGGAAGGCCGACCACAGCGACGCTTTCGGTCGCGCACGCCGCCAATTGTATTTGAGAGGAGTGGAATGTATTCCCCCTAGTAAAGTATTTGGAGTCTGTTTCTGCAAGGATGGCTCGTCTCCGGCTCCCTTTTGCACGAGGCGTTCGATTCCGATCTCCCTGACGGTGCACAGACGGCGCCCTCAGGTAGGGGTCCCGGGCAGTCGTGCAGCAGCAGCAGGCTGGCAGTTTCAACGTCTCAACATGAGGCTATGCTTGCCCGGCGTGCCCGGGCGCCCGCGTGAGCGAGACGAGAAACAGGACTGGTGTATGAAGATATGAAGAGTTCCTTGGTTTGTTGTTGCCGTTGACGTTGAGATGAAGAAAGAGCAGCTTTGGACACGTCTTAGGATGAGCAAAATGGGTCGTAACAATAAACGTGAGAAATGTATTTTCGCGCGCAAAATTGTATTTAATTACAATTGTATTTCAAATACCCGCGTTTTAGTATTTAAATACACACGTCAAATACATTACCCGATTTGTAATTAAATACAAATGCAAAATACACAAAGTATTTGAAATACGTATTTCAAATACTTGTATTTGAAGTACTGCCCATCCCTGGCTTATACATTAGCTTGAAAATCCGGCTTTCGGTTTGGTTCGGTTTCGGTTCGACACTCCGGTCTAGGGTCTGGAATCCTTAGCGCTTTTAAATTGCAATACGTTTCTTGTGGTACCTGAAATGATCGTGTCCAAAGGAACGTTATCGCGCGATTTACGCTATCAATTAACCACTGCATAAACTTGTGTCGTTTTACACCCGCTGCACCGTAGCCCTTGGTGCGCTAGGATTATTACTTTGTGTATTTTGCGTTTATTTTAGAGTCCAGCTCTTAGGCGCCCGTTTCCGGCTTGAGCGGCGTCGCCGTCGCCGTCGGTGTCGCCCTCGGCGTAACCAAGGTCATCCCAGGGTCACGTGACCCCCAAGGTCACCCCAGGGTCACGTGACCCCTGAGGTCACGTGACCCCTCCCAAGGTCACGTGACTCCCACATGACCCCCCGAGGCCACGTGACCCCCCTCCCCCCCAAAGTCCCGCGACACCCCCCCCCCCCCCCGGAGGTCACGTGACCCCCCGAGCATATTAAAGAATGAGGGGAGGAGGAGGAGAAGGAAGGGGAGGAGGAGGGGGTCTACCCTCCCTCAGTACCCTTCCCTCCTCCTCCTCAGGAGCTGCGCTCCAATTCGGCGTTACAGGGAGTTGTAAACGGCTTTCACTTTTTTCGTCAAATTGTGAAGTGTTTTTTTTTTTCTGCGTTCTTTTTCTTTCTAAATTTGTTCGGCATTTTTGCACGCCTAATTCATGTCAGGCATAAAATAAATATATCTTATTAGGGTTTATATCGGATAAAACATGACACGTTCATGGGGTTTCCAAAACCTTCGAGAAATATGCGAGTTAACCGGATGTACTTAAAAAAAAAGGATCCCGTTAGCGTTAAGTGAAAGAAACGGGGTGAGGGTTGTGGTTGCGAAGGAAAAAAGGGAGTTCGCGGATTGTTCAGTGGGGTTCATATTCAAGAGGAAGGACAGCTCGAATGCTTTTTTATATTTTCTTATATAGATTAAACCAATTTGGTGGTTCATTTGGGCTGTCTATTGGTATTTACGAAAAAAAAATACAAACACTAATTTTGATTCTGACCGCGACATTTTCAGTCTACGTAGGAGAAATACGCTTCGTCGCTCGAAAGTCAGCTGCGTGAGCCGACTGTCGCCTAAAATATGAGTATGCTCGACTAAATGCGGCCATACTTCTACGGTATTCAATAAAATTGAGTTCTCAAATTACTTGTAAACGATTACGTTTTGGAGTAATTTTGAAATCAGTTCAATATTTTAATAGTAAGTCGTCAAAAATTTAATCTGATTGCTTTTCAATGTACTAAAATTACTTGTGACCGTTACTATTTTACGCTCTCCTTTTAATGACGCCCATGTTTTCTGCGAGGTCTTTACTAAGAAATCCTGTGAGGAAGTCTTCCTACAGGAGGATGACTCCCCAAAAGTGGTGAATTTGAGAAGGTGAGTAGTTTGTAATTTTGTGCTTCCAATTAATTTATTCAATTTCTAAGCGGTAGGAAGACCAGGTTTTAAACCGAGAAAAAGAATGTTGTTAAAAAATTTTGAAGTCATAAAAAAGCAAGGGTCAGTATTTCACATAACAGCCTATTACTTTTCTTTCTTAAGTAGTCAAATGATCTAACTGACAACATTTTGATCAAGAGGGATTGTTACTTTTATCGATTACTTTTTCGAGGTACGTGCATCCGACTGAATACGACTTTCTGCCGACGGCCGTCTTCAGGCAATTCAGACAGCAGGCTGAACTAAGTTTAATTTGCCATCGAAAGCATGCCTGTGGACTAAATATGCCGGGCTTGGTTTGACTTACGACCGAATGCAGAGCGCAGACTAAGTACGCCGACCCAAGTATGACTCACTGTCTACGGCCTCCTGCGTATTAAGTACGCTTGGGTTATCACTCGCAGCCGACAGACACGTGCTACTCCCGGCGACCGTCAGTGGAAGTCGTACTTAATCCAGCTGCCTGTGCCTTCTTTCACCTGCTCCTTATCGCACAGAGCAAAGGCGTCGGCTTGCGTATCGCATGGTACGGGATAGGATTTCCACTGAGCCCCTTTCGAATATTGCCGGTTGCGACTAATTGTGCCTGGTTATGTATCAATTACTTCTATACGTTTTGTTTGCTCGTGCGTCGCCAGCTGTGGGCTAATGCATGTTTTATGTTGCCTTTCCTTGCGTCTAAAGCTCTCCAGCCACAATGGAAGCTGGTTTTTTTCACATCAAATTCAGCCTATTAACACCACCTATGTAAACATTCCAGTTTCTAATTCGTATCTCAAAGTGGCGTTCCACAGATGTCATCCCATTCGTGAACCGGCCCAAGGTTTATCCCTCTTGGTCACACAAGGAAATGAGCGATTGGAAAATCAATCTAACAATATGTCTTGTTTATTGTGGCCTCCCAAAGAACAATAAAAAAACAGTGAATAAAACAGTTGGCATTATAAATAAAAAGTTATGGGCTGGGGCACATCTGTCCCGATGTACCTTAAGGGAACTACCTCATTCCAGTCGCGGCCGCTACGTCTTCGCGTAGTGTGCACTTCACGAACTGTGCAATAGTTTAACGTGTGGTTTTCAACCTTTGACTTCGGGCAATTCGCGCAGCGCTTGCGAGAGTCACCTTTGGCCGTTTGGTGTTCTGGGGCGATGGGCTGCGTCAACGTCGCAACGCTTCTCTGCGCCTGTACAAATCCTGTCAGTCCTCGTCGGCGACTACAAAAAACTGCCGATAAGGGAGCGCGCCACAGCATGTCGAAATTCCAACGAGGTCAGAGCAGGAATACTAGCGTTTTTTGCTTGCAGCTTCATGTAGCAAATGTAGGCATTGTTTACTCCAATGTCCAGGAGATCAAAAAATATTCTGAGTTAATACTTGATCTTCGATCGCCTGTCCACTTCATAGGTTACCTTTTCCTTGTCCATCAGGTCAACTCCGCCCATAGCTTTGTTGTATTCCTTTACAACCAAGGGACAATGGACATTCATTTTTTTCTTTCCTCCCAGAGGATTGCCTTTGTACAAGAACAGTTTGAACGGGGGAAATGAGGTTGGAGAGCAAAAGAGCGGCCCGGTTGTCCATCCATTTCACACAGGCAATGCCATCCGCACTAAAAGACGCAATGTCTCCTCTTTTCATTTTCTTGTCGCTCGGAAAATTGTTAGCATGCCCTTTCGGTTCGCATGCACGGTTCCCCATGCCTTGATGTCGCGCTCGGAAAGCTCCACCTGCAAGGCCGGTGAATTGAAAAAAAAATGGCGAAAGAAAACTCACAGCCAAGTCCGCTCAAGCCGTCTGTGAGCTAGAGGTCGACTGACTCTCCAAGCCCCATGGCAGTGCCTTCGCTCTTCTTCCCAGTGTACATGTCACACTGAAACGAATATCCTGCCTCTGAGTCGCAACGGCACCACATCTTGAAGCCTCAGCGAATTGGTTTGTTTTTTATGTATTGCTTAATGATGTTGTGGCCTTTGAACTTGACCATGTGCTCGTCAATGGACTGTCGCTTCGTCGGAGAAAGCGCACCTTGAAACGCCTCGTTGCAATGGTCAATAACTGGTCGCACTTTATAGGCTTTGTCAAAGTTGGGCTCCACTTTACAGGGCTGACACTCGTTGTCTGCAGAATGCAGAGCGCTACGAATCTCCTCAAAGCGATGAAGAGGCATCACAGCGGCAATGAACGGCACGCCAAGGTCAGGTAGCGTTGACCAATAGTTCCTCAGAGCTGGCAACACGTGGTAACTCATGACAAAGTTGATTCCCAAAAACGTTTTCATTTCTTTGTTCGTTGTTAAGGAAGCAATTCCATTTTGTTGCGTGTAACGGATGCTTTCTTTTACGAGTACGTCAGAAACCAGCGTATCGAAGTTCATCACTGCCAAAAGAAACCGCAAGTCGTGTGACGACGCTGCCTTCATCTTGGTCCGGTGCGCACTGCACCAGCCCGTACTCCACTCCGGCGCCATTTCTAAATCTCCTTGCTTAGTGGGACCTTTTACACGTGATTTTTTTTTTGAAGCTTTTGTCACGGTAGTAGGGCTGGGCGCTTTCAATATCGGGAGAGACGCCGATCATCTGATGCGTTTACTAGGAGGATTTGAAGGCCCCTGTTTTTCTGGGTGCTCAATGTCAACCTCCGCCCCAACGTTATCCACGTCTTGCTCCAAAAAGTCAAAATCTTCACCGTCAAGTTTTAGCACGGTCTCATCATTGCTCTCATCGGCCAACAAGGTCTGGTAGATTTTTTCCTCCGAAACTAAGAATTTACGCAGTTTTCCAGCCATCTTTCTGCAAAAAAAGAAAAAAAAAATCAGCAGTTAGAGAAAGAAATGAGGGCAGGTCACAGGTACATAGTAAGCAAAAGAAAGATACCATTCATTTTACTTATATGACATATTTGAAGGCGAAATGGCACAAGCGGCGTTTCCTCCAACGCATTCAAAACAGAAGCGAAGTTCCGGCACGGTACATAGGGACACCTGCGTCCCAAGCCAGTTTTTCTCCAATTAAAGTATAATAGACACTGACGCTTCCATTGATTTTGGTTCCTCGGTAATTATACGGCCTAAGAAACCTATTTAGTTCAATGTTTGATTGATAGCACACAACAAATGGCAATAAATTACACTTACTTTGTCAGGCAGAAAACGCGTCGCTCCTCCTTCACAACCGCCTCGTTTTGGCGGGATTTTGGTGCGAGTGTTGCCGACCCAAACTTCATGTTCCGTCAGAGCAAACTCAAGAGCGTCGAATGCGCAACCTATACGGTTATGCACGGGGTAGTTTTTTAGACATACCGGTTTTAATTCCGGGGACATATGTGTCCCGTGTACCTCAGAGGGTTATATATTAGGTACTGGGTGGACCGTATTTAAATAACTAACAAAGAAGTGCAGGTTGTCTTTATTGCATTTGTTAAAGGGCCCTGGACCTTTCCGGTAACCTGGCTGAATAATGCCATTCGAATTAGGCTTTAAGAGTGCATATATTGAATTTTTCTTTGTCCCAGGAGTATTGTTCTCCACAAGTTCAGTTGTTTGCTCTCCTTGCGCATCTTATGCTTCTGAACTTCGCCGATCTGAGTCCTCGGGAAAGAGTCCACGAGCAGAACATATTCCGGTACCTTGCATCAGGGCAGCGGTAATTATAAACGTGTTAGAATTGCACGCGAACTAAACAAAACAAAAATGAACTCAATAAAGCTTCCCTCCTCCCTTGGTATTCCTTGGTAGCAAAGGAATAGAACATATAGTTTTCTGTCCTCCAGTAATTACACAATTTAAACGATCTCCCATCTTCTAGTTGCATGAAGCTTGCACGTGCTTTAATGTTCAAGTACCTGAGGTCTGAAATAACTCGCGATATGCCGGTCGCGGCGAAACTAAATATCCCAAGTCGCATAGTAGGCTGTGCCCTTGAACTTCGAAGGAGTGGCACTACGCGCTCTGGGATGAAAACCCTCAACTGCAACTTGAATTAGGTGTTGCTGCAATTAGAGGCATAGCTCGATTGTTTATGTATTGAATACATATTCATACGTTTACAGTTGTTTTTAGATGCATGAACTATGCATATACCTTCTTGTCTTTGCAAAAGGATTTGATATCTTCTGGGGCTAAGGTTTTATCTGGTTTTACTTTGATCCAAACACATATCTTTTCAACCAACTCTTCTTCCGGTACTTCAAACACCTGCCGAGAGGTTTAAAAAAATTATAAATAATTTTATTTGGCCTATGTAAACTTTAAACGAATATAAACTCTACTTTAAGTCAAAGTCTACGTCTTAATACACTACAATAAGCTGCTCTTGGAGCTATAAATATTTAAATTTTAATCTGTCGGTAAAAACACACCCAAGAAGGTCCTCAAATTACACCAAGACAAGTCATTAAAAAGGCGATTTTTTTACAGTTACTGATCGTTCACATACTTTTTCTGCGTCCTTTTGTTGAGACGTAGGCTGTAGAACTCATTAAAAAGCCTTGCTTTCAGTTAATACGTTCCACGTCTGATCAATATGTTAGCAGCTGGTTCGCTTATCGTTTGAAAATTTACTGTGATAATGTGGCTCAAATAGCTAGTGGTTTATGGTCTGACGAAAAATGGTGCGAATAAAACGCGATCTCATTCAAGAAATAGAACTTTCGTGTTTCAAAGTCAGGCACGAATATGCTTTTCAGTGGAGTGTTATTTCCTAATTACATCCCGTTTCGACGGTAACGAAAGAAGAACTCTACGGAAAAATTACTTGTGCAACGTTTTTTTTTAAAATTTACTGTTTCTGAGTACGGACTTTTTTTTTCGAATAACCGGGGGATTGGGAACGAACGACCGACCACTTAAGCACCCCCAAGGAGAGTGAGTTATCTTCACAAGAAAGTTATGCAAAAGAAAAACAAAAAAAAGACGATCACATAAGAAGAAAAAATACTGCGAAAATGTAGCTTTCCGTAAGCAACACCTCTCCTTCACTTATTTCGCTACGTCCACTAGAAAGAAGACAAGGTAAAGCAAGACTCTATTGCGCGGGTGTGCATACTATTTAAAACATAATAAATTTAAATAACTCAAGGTACTTGATAAAAATAGCTAATATTTAAAGTATTGCTGGTTTTAAAAGGATGTGACTGTAGCTCATCAAATCGATATAAGAATCTCATGATTGTGTGGGACAGGTTAAATGACGGGTACTATACTCAATAACTTGGTTTTGATATCGCTCGTTACAGCGACGTGGGAATTTTTCGGAAGATCAAAATTAGATAGCTACAGTAATCTACTATGTTAGGCTGCTTGGGTTGTAAGCTGCGTTGCACCTATGCTGTCTAATATGTGTCCGTTCTTATGCAGCTGAGGCTTCAGGACTTTGTAACGGAAGCTAACTACCCTTCCGCAAGTCATATCGTGACGAAATTAACTATGCCATAGCACCGATAGTGAACTAGCTCTTTCCACGTGTAAACCTGCTTCTCCTGAACGCAACCGCACATCGGCAGCAACTTCCTTAGGAATGGGGCGTCGAGTCATCAAAGGTAGCCAGCCATTCTTAAAGAACATAGCCGACAGCACCGCAGGGCATAAAAGTGCGGCAGATCAACAGAACCATTATTGCACTCAAGAAGTCTAACCTGCTTTATTCGTGCAGGTTCGTAAAATTGATCAGCACTGTTCGAAAAGCAATAACAGCTATTTCGTTTACTGCCAATTTCACGGGCATGTTCTGATTTAATTATATCTTCTGTATATTCACTAACGAAATCGGTTTTCTATGTGGGTGTTGAATTGAACCACGGGTCCTAAATGGAGGAATGGCATGTACAGATTCTCGATAAGCAAAACATGATGGCTGAGGGCATTTTAAAATTAAATATTTGGAATAATATCTAGACGTAGCCATTGCGAACCCTAGTGCTGGCTTAATTAGTATCGATCAATCATACGGAAGTTTGCGCACGGAAGTGGAAAAAAATAGATGGTTGTGAAACACAACCGTCACGAATATCATCTTCCATGTCACATCTAAAACTAAAACTATATTCTGTGGCAACCTTTCTTGGCAATGCAGTCAAAGATCCGGGCACGCGTGCCCCCTCCAGTTTTGAGCGCTGAATAAAGCTGTGGGCGCGCTTTCCACCTCTCCTCACAAATATATCGAAGAAATTTCCCTGAGTATAAAAATAACGAAAAACGAGCGCGGCGCAATATTCTATTTAAATGATTTCTGAAGTAGCCCAGGAGTCATTTAATTAATTAGAAGACAATATCTATAATATTCCCTGGACAAGGGGAACAAGAAGGACTTAGGACGTACATAAATTTTCAAACACAGGTTCATGGTTCGGTACCAACACAAGGAGGATTTTTTTCAGTCATGCACCAGTCCCTTAGCTTGTGATTGGATATTTGTGTTTGTCCCTTGTCCCCGTTGTTCTCATTCTCTAGAGATTATTATCGTTATTCTTCTCCAGCACGCTGGCAACTTAAAAATTAATTGCGTTATCATCATAGGATATCACGTTAGTGTAAACCACAGCGGAACGAAGTCACGACTAAAAAATCAAATAAATCTAATTCATTTTGGTTCAATCAGATTTATTTTATTTAGATCAAGTTTGTTTTATTTAAAATATATTTTTGCTATAAATCATCCTAGTCACTGAAGCTAGAACATAGCGATTATTTAACACTAGATGCCTTTCTAAAAATATCAGATTGATTGATGATCAATTCGTCCAATCGCTGAAAACAGTGCTTAAGAAGAAATTACTGTAAATGCAAAGTCCAGTTTTTTTAACAACTCTTTACTGATGTAGAATTACTCACCACCACAGTAGAACAAAAAGAGCCTGGGTAGTTTAGTTAGAAAGTTTTGTTTTGTTTTATCTTTCTTTCTGACTTGATTGCAATACCTCATTCTTTTTATAATTTTCCTTTCGTTTGTGTTTTGATTTTCTTGCAGTACTATGTTACGTAGCTATTCAACAAAGTGGACCGTAGCAATTGAAATCAAAGTTTCGATTTGCTCTAAAGAGCACTTTGTTTTCCTCATGCTCAGTCTTAAAGTAATCTTTATTGATTGATTTTTCTTTACATATGAAGGCACCAAATAAATGGAGGAACGGTAAATACGAAATATTTTAGGAATTATATTTGTGGGAATAGTTTGATTTAAACCTTCATGGTAAATTTGGCCTGATTTCAATGGCAATTTATGTCATGATTTGAATCATAATGATTTTTATTTAGCACCTTGATGTAAATAGCTTTGTTAAAAGTGTAGATATGAAAATCACATGAATTGAGTGCTTGCGTAGGTCTTTAAAATAACAAAATATAGAAAGCACGAGAAGTCTTTGTTTGTGCCTTCAACTGCAAGCGAAGAGTCTACATTTAAACAAACGCCGCAATCTTTAAGGGTTTCCTAATTTCCGGTGGTGAAGATTGCTCTACTAATATGCACACAT